ATAATTACTTACTTGCGTACAATTAGTTTTATATGGTGCCCTTTCGTCCTCCATCCCAATAATTAAATCCATTGTTATAAAGAGGGGTTTGCCACTTTGATCCAAACAAACGGACACTTGTCAATCCTAAACATTCGATATGAATTTTAATTAACGTGAAACGATAATATCGATATGATTTATATTTAGAAATAAAAAAATACCTGTGTCAGTTGGAAGTGAAATTACTTTTGTGGTAAAGACTCGACTGGTGTAAACTGCATTTGAGTGGATTTGTTGTTGTTCATATTCGTAGGAATACTCTTTTTTAATTTCATCTCTTTCCATTTCTGATTTTCTAGTTTGTGTGACACTCAATAATTTCTTTATCTGTTTTAGGAGACTCTAAAGAGCTGTAGAACTGAAAATGCAAATTATTCGGTTTCCAGTTCTTATCAATGTCAAATTAAGTAGACACACATATATCGATATTATACGAAAAAGGACAGGCAGAAAGCAAGTACTAAACAGAAATATAAGATTAATAACGATAAACGGTTGAATTACCGTTACATCAATTGATAATGGTAACACTATCTGCTGATCTTTGCTATTTTGATCGATAAATATTATAACCAAAACGCTAACTTTAAATGACGGTATTTTTTGCTACAGTATTTATATTAAAAATACAAGTAGGAAATACCTGCTATTATTCTTTGTCATAGAGCACTGTGATAGTTTACCTTTAAAATAACATAAAATAAACAGACAGAGCAGATAAAACTCTAACGATATCGATATTATGCAAAATGGTTTATACTGGTTGTCGATCATATAGTGAAAAAATTACAGTCATTTACATAATCAGAATTTCGTATCACAATATAAAGCCATCGCAAAACTGCTACGAGATGCACACATTACCTTTATTAATCTTTGCTGGCATATTCACCTGGCATGTGATTCTTGCAGTTAGGAAGCATTGGTGGAACCGGCTCTGCCGACACTTCGTGTTATATGCTTCGGAATTGTCGCATGTAACACAGGCACAAATGCCATAACCCAAATACGTAAATATAGCAATGTTAATTTCATTATGCCTTCGTAGATCCCTAGTGCTGGGTTGATTGATGAATGGTACAATCTTGAAATTGAAGATAGCCATTTACTTGTTTTATGAATTTCTTGGCTAGTCGTATGTACTCTTCTTTGACTTGTTTTGTCTCTTCTTCCCAAAATTTAGAAGCGACCTTTGATAACGTTGGCATATCATATTTTGTTCCTGTTTTTTATTCAACTCCACCATAGTGTTACGATAAATGAAAACCCATTTTAAAATATTTTTTAAATCATTTAAGGCCATACAAACAAAATTTTTGACTTTCATAACCCGGCCGGGTCATAAAAACCAGTTTATGAAATTTAAATTTTGAGACGCAGTCTAATATTGTATTGTAAAAACATCAAACAAGTATAAAATCGATTATTTTTTAGTCAGGTAACTTCAGGACACGATATTTCGCGACTCAGTAAACGGATCGAAGCGATCTAACTATTATTAGATTCGCCTTAACTAGAAAATTGAAATCGCTTCGATCTGATCATTGGATCTCAAGATATCGCGTCCTGGACTAAAAAATAATCGATTTCGATTTATATAAATAAAATTTTTTAACTTTAAAAATAAAAAGCCGGGTCATTTTACATAGTCATGTGTTATGAAAACCAAAAAACTTTGTTTGTGTGGCCTTACAGTAATTTCAAGGGGATACGGTGGTTTTTGATGTTTACACTGAGATATCAAGTAGGAATCGATTCTAAATCGATAAATAATTCGATTAATCGATTTTCAATTTGAGAATCGATTCTCAACCCAAAATTGATTCTCAAAATAGATCATATATATATATATATATATGTTATTATTTTTTATTACATGTACTAAGAATCGAAATATCTAGTTCAGGAATTTATTAACATTAGGAAGATAAACATAATTTGTTCTACCAAATGGCCATTTAATCGATTTCATTCAGGTGTAATTGAGTTTCCCACATCTGAAAATAGACATTCTGATGTAACTGATGTGGCAGGAATTGTCATGTATTTATGTGCAGATTGTGAAAGAATTGGATATAGGGATAGGAATCGTTTCTCAATCCAAATCGATTATCGAGCACAAATTACGACGATGATGACGATGACAATAGCAAGCGATGACATAACTGGTCTTTGATTTTTTCCCTTTTCGTTTGAATAGTTGAAGTTGTACTTTGACTAGTTGAAATTATTGATTAGTTTGATGCGTAGAGATACTAGTGGTAAAGATACTATAGCGATAGAGGTCGTATTGAGATTCTGTATCTTATATTTGATGACAGAGTATCATCGCCATGCATTACCGTTATTGATCCTCAAATTCTTAAATTTTAATCGTTCATCATGCATTCTAATGGCGTCATCAACTACATGTATTTCGTCCGATTTGCATTATCAACTAAATTAGATTTAAAATTCAAAATTAAAATATCGGTATTTTAATGGAGCCCTGCCATGCATCATAACTCTAATAGCCATTAGAATATGTAACGGGACACAATCTCTCTCTTTAGATAAAGAAAATAAAGTATTGAAAAATTAATGTCATCAAATTATTTGAAAAATAATGGGTTACAGTAATTCGTCAATTAATAACAGATCTATGAGAAACTTTTCCATGACACTATTTATGTAAACTATAAACATTAACCTTCAATTATTGAGATAGAAAATTCATTATAATCATAATTAAATCCTAATTACACAGTAAACTTTAAACATTGTTGTGAAGAGAAATAAATTTACGCAGTATTATGAAGTTTCATCAATTTCTACGATATGTATTATACGTATGTTAATTTGTTTGATCATTTCTATTTCATTGTTCTGACGAAGATGCAAATGCACCATTAAAGTGCGTCCTGCGTGAAGAGAAAATGTTTGTCGCTTGTTTAACCTTGTTACAAGTTAATACAATATGCGGACAAACTACTTGAACTTTTACATTTTGAACTTTTTTACATTTGGCCAATTGATTATAGTGAATTGTGCATGGCGCGCACTATGAACTTTTACGTTTGGCCAATTGATTATACGTAAATTGTGTATGGCGCACACTATGAACTTTTACATTTGACCAATTGATTATACGTAAATTGTGTATGGCGCACACTATGAACTTTTACATTTTGAACTTTTACACATTTGGCCAATTGATTATAGTCAATTGTGTATGACGCGCACTATGAAATTTCACATTTAACCCAATTGATTATACGTAAATTGTGTATGGCGCACACTATGAACTTTTACGTTTGACCAATTGATTATACGTAAGTTGTGCATGGTGCACACTACGTATGAATTAGGGATAGGAATCGATTCTCTAGAATCGATTAATTTTGTAGAATCGATTAATATTTGAGAATTGATTCTGGGTTGAGGATCGATTCCGGGTTGAGGATCGATTCCTATCCCTAGTATAAACTTTTACATTTTGAACTTCATACATTTGGCAATTAATTTTAGTAAATTGTGCATGTGCACACTATAAACTTTTACATTTTGAACTTTTACACAAATTGTGCTATGAACTGTTACATTTTGAACTTTTACACAAATTGTGCATGGCGTACGCTATGAACTGTTACATTTGGCTAATTGGTTATACGTAAATTGTGCGTGGTGCACACTATGAACTTTTACAATGTCCTAAGAAACTTTAAACAGATATTTTGATGAAGTCTAAGAAAAGCATTATATAAGAGATCCCCTTTGCTCTCGATAGTCGGATCAATTCAGTAACAAGAAAAAAAATTTACTATTCTTTTATTGAATCATTATCACAAAAATGGCATCTTGTAAAATTGCTTACTTTGTTTATGTCGTCCTATTATTATCTGTTATTCTCTTCAATGCGGAACCGGCAAGCGCGTTGGACCTCAAGAAACGATTGCCCAATGAAGAACCAATGGGCACGTTGGAAGTGATAGGAGGAGAATTGCCCAATGGAGAAAAATTAAACACATTGACTCTGATAAAAAGAGAATCACCCAATGGAGAAATTTTAAAACGTGCTTCTAAAGGTGGTGTTGTTGATAGTGGTAATGATGGTGTTAGTTCTAATAATGGTGGTGGTTATTGTAAACTTGTTATCTGTGGCAATGGCTGGTGCTGTCAAATTGTATTTAGCTTTGAATGAAACACAACTAATTGTAAAATTGTTATATGTAACAAAAGAAGATGCTGTTCAATTGAAATTGATTTTAAATTATTATTTATTATTCATTATTATTAAATCAGTATTAAATCATTTATTTTTTTATGTATGACTGTTCAATCGCTTATTATTCATTCCTTATTACTTATCGTTATTATTTCAAATACAGTATGCATGTATGTATATATTAAATAAAACTTTCATTGTGAACTAAATCTAGCTTTTTCATCATTAATTGAAAAATATCTTCCATGTAATTTATTTAACGAGATTGATAAAAAATTTAGATTTGAAAATTTCAAAGATGATAACGATTTAGAAGAATATCGATATTCCAATA